TGGAGCTGACAGTGGGGACGGGCAGGGAGACACTGTGTCTGGCTGCCCTGAAGAAGGCAGAGGCGGTCACACCACTGAACAAGGACTCCCTCCCACTGAGCTTTCTGTCAGGCTCTCAGGGCTGCTTGGGCCAGGACTGCCCTACTGGGGGTGGAGACAGAGTGGGCCTGGAGCATGTGCACATGTACATCCCTGCATGTTTGCCAGGAAGGTAGTGTGGGAGGAAAGGCCAGGCCTCTCACTCTGCCTCCTACCTACCTTCCCCAGCCTGATGTCCTCTGTCCTTGACTCCTTGCTGGAGCTGATCTCCCAAGTGCATCACACCACCAAACTTCTCCTGGCCCAGCTAGAGCATGCCAAGCCCACTGAGGCAGAGCCCAAGGATGAGGAAGACTGTGGTGTGAGCCTATGGGCATGTGGGGAGGGAGGGGCCTTTGGACACAGAGAGAGTGTCCAGTACATGGGGACACTCAGCAGTCAGTGGGCTGATGCAGTCTGTGGGGACTTCCTGGGGGAGGCTTTATGCACAGAGCTCTCTCTGACAGGAAGTGGGAAGGTTGTGCCCCAGGAAGGAACATGGACAGTTGGTGATCTTTTCTTCTCTTTCAACTGCAGGAGCAGCTCCACTCAAAGCTGAAGTCCCAGCTGCAGAGCCTGTGCCAGCTCCACCTGCAGCTTGCTCCTCAGCTCTGCCACCACAGGGAAAGCCGGTGCCAGGAACCCCTTTTCCACCAGCTGCACAGCTGGGTCACCTGGTGGCTCCTCAGCAGGTGTCAGCTCCTGAGCCCCCCCTGGGGCCAGCTCCTGCCCCACACCTGCCATTCCCCTCTATTACTGTTGCTCATGCTTTGCTCTTTACTTTTGCACTTATTTTCTGCATTTATGTAAATAATAGTTATTTTTAAATAAAATTAAGATTTTATTGATGTTCAAAATGGTCAGCTTGGTGGCATGAAGTGCCTTCTCAGTGCAGTGAACCGGATACCTCTGTCCAGGTCCACAGCATTTTCCTCAGTGCTGCACCCATGAGTGGTTCCTCCCCTCTCCCCTACTGCTATTCTCTGGCCACCACTCATCTCATGTCCCCATAATTTACCTATTCTACATTTTTCAGGTCAGTGCAATCATACTTCTCCTTGGCCACATAATCCTGGAAGGGACTCATGAATCTCAGAAGACAGAGGGCCAGGACAGCACAGCCCCACTTCTCTTGGGTGAAGAACAAGCATTCTCTAGATTTTGATTGAATTTTATTTTTAAAATATGAAGTCTCAGAGCATCCTGGGCACCAGTGGCTCAAGGTTCCAAGGGATGATTGGTCCAATTTTGCCCTATGGCCACCGCAGGACTCTTGACCTAGGTACTGTACAAATCAGTAAATTGGGTTTTAGTACTGGGGATTGAGCCTAGGACTTTCTCAGTGAGCTACATCACCAGCTCATTTAATTTTTGATTTCAGTTTTATCACAGAATCTCACTAAGTAACTGATTTAGTAGTCTGGACTCAAACTTCTGATCCTCCTGCCTTAGACTCCCAGGGACTGTACTAATCCCTCAGTCCTGGGATTACAGTTCTTCACCACCTCACTTGGCTTCTGTAACGATTTTTGAAAAACAAACTCCAAAACCCACTGCTATGCCTGGTTTTCCACCTTTAGGACTTGAGGCTGTTTGATATCTCTGGTGAGAAGTGAGGACTCCACCAATGGGGTGCTTCTCAGTGAGAGGCCAGCCAATCTCTGTGTGATCATTATTGCAGGCCTGCCCAGCCTGTGTGGTGACTGCAGGCTTTGCCCTGACCTCCCTTCCACACTTCCCTGATGTACAGAGACCCTACTTCCTTCCACCTTTCAGCAGGGTCAGCTGAGCAGTTAGCAGGACAAGCCCATCCCAGTGAGACTTGTCTGATTCTGTCCCCAAGAAAACTCCCCAAGGTGTAGCAGCTAGGACACAGCCCCATGAGTCAGCCTGTGCCCATGAAAGGAACCATTTTATCAGTCTCCACTCACAGCCCACAGCTCATGACCTGCACTGAACAGTCCTGGGCCAACTCCCTGACTGTACACTCTCACTCCATCCTCACCAGATGCCGCTTGGCTGTCACACTGTGCACAACTACCCACTGCCATTGCCACGAATAAAGGATCATCTAGACAGAATTGGGACTTGAGGTGGCAATGCCTTTGGACAGGGACCATGTGCTCCATAGAAGCAACTTTGAGAACAATCTATGCTTTATAGATCCCACCATAGTGCAATCACATAGGGCCTAATTTCCATTTTACACATTAAATGTACGAACTTCACCATGAATTACATCATTATGTACTGCAATCATTACTAATAAAAATCATGTAACAAATTATAAACATTAAAATTTTATTATATTAAATGTAATGTATTCAAATTATAAACACTAAAAAGGGCAATGAAATTTTGACAAATGCAAAAAAATACAGTAGTCAAGTCATGCAAAGCCAGACAGACTGAGACCCTCTACCTGGCAGGCAAGAGTCCTTCAGGCAGATGCAAGCCTGATGCACAGAGCTGCCCCTGTGCTGAAGCTACTCATAGGCTGATGGGATCTCTGCGGCCAATCCCAATGTCATAGAAACATGCAATGTCATAGCACTTGGCTCTGTGCACAGCACAGTGCAGACACACAGAGAGCTTGCTGTGTGCTGACTGCCCGAGATCCCCAGCATCAGCATACCCTTGGGGGACACAAGGAACCCTCACTCCCAACACCCAGTGAAGACTGAGTAATGGAATAGAAAGTGAACACAGTGCTCAGGCAAATCTCCTCAAGGAGGCCTCAGTCTCCCACACCTGCCTTTGTACCTCTCCTCAGCCCTTTGATCCTCAGTTCTAGCAGTGTGACCAGAACTGTTGTCTCCTTTGTGGTCTCAGCATTCAAGCTCAGATATGGCCTGGAAGTGACAGTTGGAGATGCCCCTCCCCCATACCTGCTCTCTCCAAGAAAGGCCCTGGTCTTTCTGCACCACACACCTTCCCCTGGGCTCTTTGAAGACTGTGCTGGTTTGAAGAGGTCTGGGCGGGAGAGGATTTGCAAGGGCTGTCAACTACTCTAAACCTGCCAAATATACATAGCTTCCTAGTAAAAGTCTGTGGGAGGAACTAGGTGGCAAAAAGGGACAGCTGATTTAGAGGAACCCTGCTCTACACATCAGCACCAAAGCCTCATTGTGGCCTAGAAGGGAAATGTACGGGTAGCTTCCTCACTCAACAGCCTCCCAGAACACTGCCCACCCCTCTGCTAATTACAGAAGCTGCTCACTCCCCCCACACTCACCTTCACAGCCTCACAACTGCATGCATCTTGGGCTCTAGGCACTGTGATTCTGGTACCAGTTGGCAGGCATAGGAGGAAACAGGGGAAGCCTGGCAACTACCTGGAATTTAACCCAGGAGAAGGAAGACAACTTCAGAGGATTTTCTTACCTGAGGCCCAAAATCTGGACCAGAGGCACATCCCATGGGTGCACTGTACACGTGTCCCCTGGGACCTCCCTGGTCCAGCTGGTGTCCAGGTCCTTGGGACCCAGGGACATGCCAGCAGTGGGCTTGAACATCAGCTCCAGGCCTCATAACACAGACAGACAATGCTTGGCCAACTGGAGGATCTGGTATTGGCTAGGAGAGGTATGTGTGACCCTACTGGGGTATTTTGTGTCCCCAGATGCATGTGGTCTGGTGCACAATTACTTCTCTTTCTGCCAATGTGTGGTCAAGATCTGAGGGCCCAGCTCCACACCCTGGCACACCCATCTTGGCCTCCTTGGCCAGTTGTAATTCTGTCTGTCCCCCATAAACAAACTCTACATGCTCAATACCCACCTGGATCCTGCCAGATGGGAGGATCCATAATCATCATCCCAAGATTCCATGTGAACCTGCATTCACACAGGGACCCAGAGCTTGTGTCTGCCCCTGGGATACTCTACAGTCAGAGTCTTCCACTTGCCCTCAAGACCCCATTCTAACCACAGAGACCTCTGGAGAACACCTGGTGTGGGAGCTGCCTGCGGTAGCCATATGCCAAGAACCCTGGTACCCTCAACCCCAGGCCCTGGACCAAGGATACCAGCATGCAGGTTCTAGGTTGGTCTGGATGAAAACAGATCAGCCATCTCTGTAGTACTGGGTTCTCCCTGGCCAACAAGGGACTAGGGAAGCACAGAGAAAACCCCAGGACAGCCATTTGCAGCACAAGGCCAGCTGGGTGGGTGGGTAGGAGAGAGAGGCCAGTGACAGGAAGAGAAGAGATGGATGGAGGACAAAAGGATGGGGAAGAAAGTAAGAGAGTAGAAAAAGGCACTGCACTGGACAAAGGCCCCACCCTGATCTTTCCACTCAGCAAACCTGCTGGGTTACAGCAGAGACCAGGGACTCTGGACTTTGGGCAGCTGTACACACAGAGTCTCCTCCTCTTGTGATCCCATCCCAGGGCCTGGGGGTCTTGAGGGAACAAGGAAGGGACTCAGAAGTGTAAGTCAGGCAGAGGAAGAACAAGGGAAGTATAGTACAGGAGTGTGTCCTAGTCAGGTGGTTGTGCAACACAGTCTGCAGTTCCCCACGTGCCCCACTGGGCTGCCAGGAACACTGAGTACCCACTGCCCCTGACCAGGGCCAAGGAACAGTAGGCAGGGATCCTCGATCATCAGAAGAGGGCCATATAGATACCCACACAGACATTGGGCCTGGACACCTCAGAGAAGCCCTGGGCCCTCTGTGGGTCCTACAGAACCTGTTCCTGCCCTTGGGCTCCAAACCTCTCTTCTCTTCAGCTCCAGCAGGGTGCCACACATCAAGAACAATCTGCTTATAGTCCACAGGGAGACCCCATCTGGAGGGGCTGTACTGGGCCTGGGTTCTTCCTCCCTGCCCCTCACTGATCCTGTGCCTCAGCTTGCCACACTTGGACACAAAATTAAAAAATCACACCCCACAGGCTCAGGGAATAAGGCGGGGAACATACCCAGTTAAGTGGCTGCAGTGTGTGAAAATGGGACCAAGAGGTACTACTGTCCTTGTCCCCAGCCTGGGAATGAAACCTATCAGGACATGGCTAGTCCAGCCTGTCTGGGGAGACCATGTCCGTCTCCTGAGGAACTGTGTTCCCCTCCCAGGTCAGAACAGCAGAGACCCTGCATGAACTGGAGTGAGAAGGAAATGGAACAAATGTCCATCACCAGGGCTTTAGAAGTGAGCCCAGGCCCAAGCATGAAATTCAGCATCCTTTCTGAAGCTGTCTGACCAGGGATTGGGCTTTGGGATGTGATCAGTACCTGGGGTCAGGGCACAGGGTCTTTGGGTTTGTGGCCATTTAGTTTCTCTGTGTCTGGGAGGCATTCTGGAGTGCAGTTAGCTGTGGGGTGAGCACCTGTGCTTCCTGGGGTGGCAGAAGAAAATGCTGCTGATGGCTGACACCACTTCAAATTGTCTACTGATTTCAGATGAGGGGGCCTTGCAGGGAACTGCCTTAAACAAGCCCAGACTGCCCAGCCCCTCTTCTAGGGGACTTTGCTCATCATAGTCATACTGTAAACCAGGCATGGGTGTGCACACCCAGAATTCCAACATTTTAGGAGGCTGAAAGTTCAAGCCCAGTCTGAGAAACTTAGTGACTTAGTGAGACCCTTTCCCAAAACATGCAGTACAAGGGAGGAATAGGGAAGAGGACATAGCACAGTGCAAAGATCCTAGGTTTCATCTACTGTGTTGAAAAAAAAGCCATGCACACATGATAATGTGAAATTCTCCACCCTAATGTGTTCTCATCCACCATGTCTGACCACAGGGTGTATAAAAGAGCATGATCTGCATTTTGATCTCACAGGATAGGATGTG